CAACTGCAATGGCAATTAGGTACAGTAGACTGCCTATACTCGATATCGGAGAGTTGGGGTAGGCGTGTCACCGGAAGTGACGTGCACTTGATAGAAGCTATGTGGATAAGCTGCTTCCAACATACATCGCTGGATATCAGCAAAGCATGCTGGCAACAGCTTATCCACGCAACTTCTATCAAGTGCACGTCACTTCCGGTGACACACCTACCCCAACTTTCGGATATCGACTGTAAAATGCAATCATCAAAAACAACCTCGAAAAAATGATTTCTATTGCAAAAAAAAAAGTAGAGGTAAAAATTTATATCCGAAAACTTACTTCAAGAAATCATAGTTCTTCATGTCTCCAGTGAACTGCAGTCCTTCTTGTGACTGCAAAGCAACTCATTATTTCATGTAGAAGTCATAACTACTGAGCGACCTACATTGCTTCCCATGAAAAACAGCGCCGGGCCCTGTGTTGTACGAGCAGAAAAAAGCTGGACCGCCACCAACGTAGAAAACGCATTCTTCTCTCAAAACCGACGCAACCTTGAAAAACAATAAGAAGTACAGCAAACCAACCCGAATGAACGTATTTCTGCCATACCTTTTTTAGAGAATCGTATTCGGGTCCGCTGAGTTGCGGGAAGTATGCGACTACATTACGTTTTGATGCCTGGAAGACCTGTGTTGAGTAACATATTACAGAAATTGCCGATTGATTAGAAAAATCTGTAGTAGTTCACATTCACCAAAGCTTTCCAGAACTAGGGACAAAGTTTTCTAAAAATTCCCTGCTAAACCTCGCCATAAATCTGCTACCGTAAGTTATGGCTTGTAAACCATGAGAATGATATTTACTTGGTGAGAGGACGCCTATGTCCGCGCTACATGTACTGAGTTTATCACACTAATTTGGCGCTGGCGCTGACGCCTTAACGCAAATTCGGAGTACTTTTCCCAAGAAATAAGTATCGAGTTCCAGAAGATAATACAGTACTAGTTATTCTGTGCTCTGACTGAAAGTACCTCTTGATCAAGCATCAGCAAATTTAGTGATCTAAGGCATTTTGAGGCCAGCGCCTGTAGCGTGGACGTCAGAATCTCTCGCTATATGGATGTGGTACCCAGCTGAGTCAAATTATCCCCGTCATTCGTAGCCGAAATTCTGTCATAGAATCATGAACATAACATTCATTTGGAGAGAAAACACTTATGGTTAGTGCCCGCGCTAAATTTATCAGCGAAGACAAATACCGAGAAAATTTTTAAATCTCGAAAAGTGAGGCAGAACGAAGTACATAGTATTAAAAAAAAATTAAAAATCCCTCACATCCATCTTTCGATACAGCTCTTCCGTGCTGGGAATTTCTTGAAGTCCAGAATCTAACTGTTTCTGAATAAACTCAGAAAGAGCCTCGACGGAACGTTGACTTCTGAAAGTTACACTTTTGTATGGAACAAGCAGTATAAAAATATTCACCGCGCCGTTTGACGTTTGTGAGATGTCCGAACGGTGTGGAAGTTGGAAGTTATGAAAGTCATTTAGGGAACGTTGGTTTATTTACAAAATGTTGTGCACCAGTCGGGGTCAAATCCGAACTTCGTGTTTATAGCGACCAGTGCTACTGCACTATCACGGCTCACCGACAATATCCACATTAATGATAAATTTGACGAAGACGGTAGTGCAAACGAAAAACATAAAGAATTTATTCCTCTATGCAGAATAAAGGATAGTGACATCTTAACAGGACCCAATGGTAGAAAAATCGACCCTTTGATCACAACCTGACAGAATAGAGAAGGATTATGACTAAGGTTAGGGATTGAAAAGAGCCAGCGAAAGTACTGCTTGGAAACTTGGTTTTGCAAGTTTCAAGTAGGCTTAAAAGGCAAGCGATTGACGCTATATAGCGCCTAGCGGCCCTCATTATGGGGTCAAGTTTGAAAAATGCTCTTCAAGATGAAGGAAGCGCAGAGGAACTCGCTTCCATTGTCGACTTGCTCTAACATAGTGATTGCTGAAGGGATCAAATGCCAAGTAGGCGAACTAAGAGCGGAAAGGGGAAAGTGAACGGAATCGGTTCATTTGTTGAGAAATTGAACCGCATCTTAGGTCCCGATATGAGGCACAAAAAAGAAACTGCTTTTCATTGACAAGGAACTGCATGTGATTTGAGAAAAAAAAATGAAGAAAAATGCAAAGTATTTCATGCGTACGAACCTGTACTCTTTTCGCACGATCTCCCCATTGCGGAAGAGTTTCAACGTTGGATACTTGCTCACTTGAAACCGCGTTGCAAGGCCGGCTGAAACATGGCAACTTTCCTTTACATAACTACGAGGGAAGCAAAAAAAACACGCTCTAATACAACGGAAAAGATGCATTACACTAAAGCAAAAGCGGCAGAAAAAATACCTTGTGCATCCGCATCGACTGAAGCCCAAACTACTTTTCCTTGCGGTAAATTCTGAAACAGAATAAATCATCTACCAACCAACTTCGTGGATCTTGACTGTCATTAAAAAAACTAATTTAGGATCAAAAAAGAGTATTGAGAGTAATGAACGAGCTGAACGTACGTGGAAATTTTTCCACTAGCTTGAGCGAAATATTGAGTTTAACATTTGTAAAAACGACACCAGTCAGGTTAAAAAATTTAACAAACACGACCTCATTTGACTCTAAAACAATGGATAAGGGAATTTACTGCAGTTTACACTTAACATTTACATATCAAATTTGTACACACTCACTCATAATGGTGTCGAAATTGGATGAATCTAGTTGAACGACATTTCCTAAACCCAAGCGAAGCAGAGCAACACGAAGAATGACCGCGGAATCATCTTCGTTACCACGGTGCTCTGAAAATTTGTGTTTTGAGTTGAAGCTAATAGGGCATTTATCATCCACAAAGAGAGATTAAACAACAGCCTTCGATACGCGATAGTGGTCAAAACTTCCTAGATAATATTTCAAGAGTTAAGTGGAGTCACAATAAACTGACCAAGAAATAACCCCCCCTTTTCAAGACCATATATTCGCCAACAGTATGTTCTTTCACATAATTATCTAAAACAAACAAAATAAAGATGAGATTTCGTGCGAAACTAGGGAACATGCAGGTTCATTGGTTTTACGACATGCAAACCGAACGATGAACGAGGGCAAAGATGGAACGCTATCCTCCTGATAAGCATTAATTACGGTAGGAACGAATCGGTATGCAATGCATTTCCCTATGGGTGCATTCCGAGACATTAAACTCTCCCTTGAGAGGTCGGAGTTTGTGCAATCCCCTCCTATTACTTCAGTACATCACTTTTGCAAAAGAAGTTAGAAGTAGATAGATTCGCGAACTTAAAAGTGCTCAATAAGAGGTATAGGTACAATTAGCTGCTGCAAAAAAGTCAAATTACACATAAAACAGCTTCCCAGACAAAAATATGCGCGAGTTCATCAGCTGTAGCTTGAGCTACAGTTGAGAGTTCTGCGGATATATATCTTTCCCAATATAATATTACTATGTTCCTAAACAATATTTTGCGCGATCGCATGATCGACATGCTGATATTATATGTTGATACATGATTGATATGTTTATATGATACTCGATACAGTGGAACTGCAAAAGTAGTCGCAAAGTATGACCACACCTTGACTATTTATCTAGACTTTTTCATGTTTTTACTTTACATTTCATCAACAATCTAATGGTAAACTACAGGACCCTTTCAAAAGATTATAATACCTTCTCAATCAAGATGGAAAGAGTGCGGGCGTGTATCCATTTATAAGAGCAAATAACCCAAAGCATTTGAAACCACGAGAAAAACCTTCTAGCATTCGTTGTGAGAGGTAGCACTTACCATTTCTTTGCGAATCCCGCCTGCGGCGAAAGTTTTGTTCATAACCCAGTATTTTCGTAAATTTTCAGGTACAACTCAATTATGACAACACCAGGTATTCGGATTACACGAACAACAAAAAAGTGTTGAAACTTTGGCTACAGGGACATTTTACAGCTGTGATCGGACAAAAGGCATCCCTTTTGAAACAGGCCCCCTTGGTACGAATGCTGGGCGCTCATGCCCTTAGGGGGAGGGGGACATCCAAGTGAGTGAGCCAATTACTGTGCTTGGGACTAAGCCCCTAGGGAGGGGAAGGGATTCTGGGGAGCATGTGAGCAATTTGTGTTCTCCCTGGCGTTTCTCCCCTTTGCTGGGCTTAGTCCTAGTGTCACCTGACATCGGCTCTGTTTTGGATGTCCCCTCCCAGGGACATGAGCGCCAATGCTGTGCCCAGTTGGTCCGCACTGGCGCTGCAAGAGAGTATCTCATTCGTGGGATACTCAATGAGGTCGCAGTCATACTTTGCGACTGCTTTGCACGCACGAGAAACACGCTCACTATTATTGTTTGGTAAGAGCGAGTCCCACGCTGGAACGGGCGAATAACTTTTGTTCTCATGAAAACCAGAATTCGTTGTGAATTTTAAGGTAGCAACGCCAACTATGTAAAGCTCTAGACACGATTCGGATTACTCGCAAAGGACAAAAAAATTGTTGGAACTTTGGTGACATAGACATTTTATGGCTCCGATCAGAAAAATGGCACCCGTTTTGCCACAGGCGCCCTTTGGCACGAATATAGTCCGGCGCAATTGTGGCTTCCGGGTCTTCTCTCGGGAAGGAAGGTGTGACCGACCACGTAATCATCGCGTATGGACGGACCCGCTTAGTTTCAGGACTATAAACCTTTGGAGAGGAGCGTGAGACTTGGTTTGCAGAAGCAATTCTTTGCTATTCCACGTTCGTCCCTGCTGCCGGCCGTGTCGGGCGTGGTTCGGATTCGGGCATGACAGTCTCTCCTATAGTAGGCGTCCTTCCATTTCATGGCGAGGTTCTCCCGCCCCCCCCCTCCTCAGGCCACGGTCCAGAGATAGGGAAGCTCCATTCCTGGATATCAGGTCGCGGTTCATTACCTCAGCGACTGCACTTCGTTTGCACTTCAAGTTGGAGGCAGGAACATGTGGTTGGCCGATCGCGAACAAACACTACCTGAATGCGTTCAGACAACAGATAGGAAAATTAACGCTTAATCCCACATCCAACCTATAAGAATAACAAAAAAAGTACCCGAAGGCAGGAAGAAAAAAAAAACCTTTTAAAAGAGAAATAGAAGACTAACTTATACAAGATTAAAGCGCTTATTCCAAGATTGTTATAGCCTCAAATTGACGATGGTGGTAGGAAGAACAATAAGAATTGCTTAATTGAACAGAGAAAAGAGAAACAAAATGGAGAAATCAATTCAATTCAATTGACGACAGCTGCCATCATTGAGTCCGTATTCACGTATAATACGCGAGTGCGGAGCCATTTTTGGTCGACAACAATGACGACAACGTCGCTTTTTAAAAAATGCATTTATTTGCTTAAAAATGTGCACGGCTACTTGGTGCAAAGCTGTTAGTACATATAGACGTTACTTGTTTATTTGTTTACTGTGTCATACTAACACTGTTGTATTTACCGATGTCGGACCTAGAGTGCATGATGAATAAATAAATAAATGAATGAAATTATATCGGACCTAGAATTGGGTAGGGGAAAGGGTAAGGGGGGCCCCCCGGGTTGACCACAAGGGGAGGGGCCCCAGGTTCTGGAGGCATTGTTCTACGTGTCTTAAAATATCATAGAATGCAAAAAGGAAGCAGTCGATTTGCCTTATCAACGGTTTCAGCACCCAGGGTTGGACGTTTAACTGAGTGAGTCCACGCGTACGCTACATGTTAAGGGTGTGCTCTAGATTATCCTTCTCCTTTTACGCACGTTGCTTGCGACGTTGTTTCGGCCGTGAACCGCGCGTTGGTATTCCGATTTTGTGAGGGCTTCATATAGATCGAAAAAAGGAAAAGGCGAAGTTGAAGCCTTGAAACTATTTCTGTGAAAAGTCTCCCACGTCTTGCTCATGAAATACAAGTTTTATCGCGTGGCCCTACGTCGTTGATGTGCCCTAAATGAGGGCGAAGCGTTTGCGTGCGGCCCTTAAAGCAACAGTCCAGGCAGGGTTTCAACTACTTGGTCATTAGGCGGTCAAAACATGCCCCAGCCCAACTAAAGTTTATAGGAAATGTCTTTAATTTCAAAACCTACCTCTAAAATGCGCTGGAAGGGGTCGAAGTCCTCTTGGAGGGGGCGGATCACCCATAAAGAGGCGGATCGCCCAACATACGCTGTGCAGAGTCCGCGCTTGACTAGCGATCGTTGCGGGACCGCCGCGCTGTATGAGGTCGATTCCATAAGAACGCAATTGAAGCGCTTCAATTTCGATTGCTGGCAAAGTAGTTATGTATTTGCAAGCATGCAGCTATTTGCCAGCAGTTGCAATTAAAGCGCATGTACTACGGGCAGGTTCGGACAACTCGTCCAACACACGTCTCCCTAAACGGCAGGGCATGTCCCTGTCTAAGCCCCAGTTGGGCGTTTTCTTCACTTTTTCTCTTTACGTTCGACCACTTTTCACCTACAACTTCCATATAGGTGCTTTTGGCCCGCAAATTCGTTCCTGGACTGTTGCTTTAAGAAATTACATTGACACTCATTCGTAGTATTCCGACACGCCTGCCGTCTTTGCAATGTTTTTTGAATTGATTAACCGGATTATCGAGTGAGAAATGTGACGGCCATTTATTAAAGATCGATTTCATCAATAGTTAACTTCATGCCCCCTGGTGACGTTATACTACTGCGTGACTCGAACACTTTTCTGTCATAAAAACTGAATGAGTTTTGTGTGAGCATCGTTTTTTTGGTGGGCTCAAGTTAGGTGGGGGGGGTGGTGTGTGACCACGTGGCGCCACCGTCTCACAAGCGCAGTGACACTAAGCTTGAGCCTAGGAGGGAGTGGAAAGCTGAAACAGTATGATTTTTGAATTCGCTACACCTATTTTTTTGACACTTTTGATCAAAATTCTTTTTTCCGAGGGTCAGGATTGGTGCCATCACGCTCGAGAAACCGCGCCGCCGCGTGCCAACCCCCCCCCGCCCCACCCCTCCCAGCTTGCATGGCACCTGTTTTCTGCTCCCAAGGAATTTTACGACACGTTCCATTAATTCGTAAAAGTGACATCATCAGAGATCAGAATTAGGGCTACATCAACAGGAATATTTACATGGCTAACAAATTCCCACTACATGGAAGTTTTCTTTTTTTCACTCAATTCTCTATTACAATTCCACCGTTACTCTGCGTGTCTACCACTATAGTCCTGTCGTCTGTGCTCCATCGCACAGATGTGAAATGACGAAAAGTACGAAAATGACCTTGTTCCTCATTTCTATCTGACATTATCATTTCTGATTGTTTCGTCGCGGTTTATCGAAATCTCGCACTTGATTATCCCACAGTTTTAGAATCTGGATCGATACTGGAAGGCATTTACTCTCTATCTGCAGTCCCAATCGACCTTGATTATGAATGGTAAGGTGTAGAACTTTCCAACTTACACACGAGTGGCTGCTTCTCACAGTAAGTGACTACAGTATGAAATGATCCATGGGAAGTAGTATACTCCCTTTCAAAAAAGGAGAAGAGCATTGGGTACACCACAAGTGACGACGGCCTTCACAAAATGTTAATGTTTTCTGCCAATGAAATGATTAGCCTGTTGCAGTTGTATTCTATCAGTTGTCACTAATTACAACTATCATTTACCAAAATCAGCTATCACTATGAACCACTAACCAGATTTACTTGGAGGCCGTCGTCACTTGTGGTGTATGGTCTGCACCCGACGCTCTTCTCGTTTTCCGAAGGGGGGGTACATAACCGCAGCCACGTGCTTCACGGTAACTTCTCCGAAGATGTAGCTGAGGCCGACCCAAGCACCGTTTCCTTTTTCTTAAGTGGAAACAAGTAGGATTTTTTCAATCCGTAGAGCGTGATCCGATAACACGCCACGCCCAGCAGACCGCATGGGACAGCGTGACCCAATATCGAATCACAGTAGCCTTCCAAAATCGCGCCCTTTTCG